ACTGAAATTTGCACAAAAATCCTCTCAACAGTTTTCGTGTAAAACATTGAATTGCTTGGTTAAATCTGGCAACAGCTAATATGGTTTGGTTCCTTTCTGCTTAGCGCGGCCCAAATTACAGTAATCTGGAGTAACACGTCCAGTTCAGATTGAATCTCGCAGCGTTTTTCAAGCATGCGATATTCGGTATCAGCAAGAACACTATTCATGATTATCAATCATTCACCGAAAAAACGCGTTTGTGTCGGTGTCTCAAGACAGGTGGATCTATTTCTTGATGTTATTACCACACTTTTTTGCGTCTTCCTCCCTGCCCGCAGTTTGGGGCCGCAACATGCCTCGCCTCAGTTTGTGTCTCAGCCCTGTAGCGGCAGGTTTGGGGCGCAAAAAAGTTGGGTGACTCTAATTTACCAACCCTTTTTGTGTCTCTTACGCAAGCCCTCTGTTTATTGAGAGCTGGCACCGTAGATGCAGCGTGTCGGACTGATTTCTTGCCACGGTGCGGTGGTTTTAAAAAATCTGACTTCTGTAAAACCGATCCCACCGCAAGGGTGCGAGTGTTGCGGTCTGACTTTACAAACTACAATTCCACCGTGATAGCGAAGCGTGTCTTAACTTTCAAATTTTCGAAATCGAGTCTTCTTCAAAAACCGTCTCATCTGATTTAGTTGAAATCACTGATACTACTAAAACAGCGACATTCTTCTTGTTTGGATAAAAACGATGTGAGAAAACCGCAAGTGCGCAAATGTTTGACTTTGTTTCAGACAATACAGCCGTAAGACACTTGATTCCGCCAGAGAGCCAACGAGAGTTTAGTATTCAACTTTAAAATGCCGCCTTTTTCTGCAAATTTCTAACTTTAGAAGTATGTCTAGTGTCCAAAATGCAAAACCCATGAAAAGCATGCAGACAAATGCACTTACGGCTGTCTTGCCTAACACGAAAACGAAATTTTTCGTATTATTGAAAATCGTCGGTGTTTGGTCGTCCGAACTGCAATTTATGAGAGTCTTCCGGATGAATGGTAACAATGTAACAAAGTACGGAGGCTTCTCTCAATAAAACTTTCCGCTCAGACACTACCGAGCCCATTTTCTAAAAACTTCACGCCAGAGTTGTACCGTAGCCACATAACCGGACATTCTTGACGACGTTCAGGGTACCAGCTCTGATAATTTGGAAAATTTTATTCAAGCTGCCTCCTATACAATCAGGATCGTAGAGACCTTTTAACTACACGATCGGTCTCGTGTCAAAATCAGTGGTGAGGCGTGAATAATCGGTAATCGATATTTTCCCATTTGAAACTACGGTAAAGAATGATCATTGAGACGTTCGGTGCGAACACCCTGTTTATCGATCCTTTCCCATAGATTTAAATGGCAGATCTATCGATTTATTGCGAAGCACGCTACGCCACCGGTAGAAATGGAAAGCACTGGGGGAAAAAAACACATTCGATCTAGCGTCCAGACTCTTAAAAACATCGACAAGAAAAAGTACTCTTGATTCAATCAGAATCTTGCTTAAATCAAGAGCCAAGCCTCTTAATTCAAGCGGATTTCGTTTTGATTCAAGCAAAAGTCCGATTGAATCGAGAGTATTTTTTCTTGTCAATGTTTTCACGAGTCTAGACTCTAAATCCAATGTGTTTTTTTTCCAGTGGGGTAAAAAAGGAAAGGCCTCGAAAAAGGGTCTTAAAAATTGGAAAGCCGCGAAAAGGAGTCTCGGCAGTGGAATGGGTCAGTGGCGTGGCGTGGCGTGCTTCGCGATATATCGATTGTTATTCCATTTAAACCCATGGAAAAGGATCGATAAACAGGTGTTCGCAGCGAACACCTTAATAATCGATTATTTACCATGGGTTTAAATGGAATAACAATCGATATATCGCAAAGCACGCCACGCCACTGGAATGGGTCGCGTCCGTTCCCGACTCCGAGTAGTAATCCACAGCTCTTTACCGCTCACGTACCTCTCTTTACCTGAGCATGGAAGCATGAATGTAACACGCTATTCCCTCCGCCGCGCGCGTAAAATCGGGAATATCGGAGGAGGCGGCAACGTGGCCGGAGCAGAGGATTGATAATGAAACGGAGAGAGTGGGGATGGAAAGGGAGGGGAGCGTCGGAGGGTCGCGACTCGCGGGCAGCTCCCCGGGTCCCGCCAAACCGCGTATCCACCCCACACTCCTCGCGGGAGTGGCGTCGTTCTTCCTCGACGGGGCCGCAGCAACGCTGCTGCAGCCCGAAACGGCACCACGCCGCGCTGTCGGGAACACTGGGTCATCCTCGCTAATTAAATATTAACCCACCCCCNTTAACCCCCCCCCCCCCCCCTCCTATCCTCGGTGTTACCCCGCTTTCCACGACCTTACGCGCGTAAATTCCAGCATGAATTTTAATCGTCAATTAGGAGTCCTTGCGGCTCATTAAGCCGATGCCTGATTCTGGAGTTGCTGGTGCTGGGGTGGCTCGTTTTTTTTGTTTTTTTTGCCAGGATTCCGGTCGAAATTTTGAACACGGAGAGGATGCATTTTGACTCTAAATTTTTCAGGGGGTGCAGCGGGCTGATTGCTGAAATTGATAGACAAAACGATAGACAAAGCAGACACAAGGATAATGGAGTAATTCTATTGGTTGAAATGATTGGTTCTCATAGACTAACTTGAAGGTCTCTCGTTGGTTGTTGTTATAATAAGTCTATTGCCTACCTTTTCTGTCCATTGCAACTACCCGCCTCCACCAATAGGATCCCTTCATCTCCTTTTTGTCATCTTTGTCTATCGCTTTGTCTATCTATTTCAACAATGAGTCCGTAGGAGCTTTATCTTTTAGAGACTTCGTACTAAGAATTTAAGCAATATTAGGACTAGGTTCCGCGGACCAACCCTCCCTCGGATATTCGCGTTTCCGCCAGTCTGATGGGAATGGGCCAGTTTAGAGGCGGATTCAGCAATTTGGCATTCGGAGTTCCTCCATTTAAACAGATGTTTAATAATCGATTCTTGTCGGAGCACCTGACCTCTCGAATCGATACATCTCCGTAGGCTTAAATGGAAAAAAACAGTATTGCAAATTTGCTTGATCCGCGAATGGATCAGTTGCGCTGGTCACACAGAATCATGTTTTGATGCTTAGTTCTTGTAGATCATCTGAAAGTAATGAGATCTGTATCAACCGAAGTATCGCGCTTTGAAAAATTCGGTTTATGACTTCATCCACCGAGGTAAGGACACCCTTGGTTTCTTTCACCTTGCTTCATCCAAGTTTCACTTTCAGAAACCCAGTGCAAATGTGTGGCTCACAGATTGATGACAGCAAGTTCGAAGAAACCGAGGGCGTCACTACCGCGGTAGATGACGTCATAAACCGATTTTTTTTCAAAGCGCAATATCTTGCTTGATATTTAAAGTAGAAGTTGCTTTTTGGACGGATCTTATTATATTTAGCTAATCCCCAAGAATCAAGCATCAAAATACGATTTTGTGACCAGCGCAACTGACCCACTATAGAGAAAGTTCTAAGAAATGCAATTCAGCAAAAGGCTTTACTTGATTATGAGAAGAGGATTGAATGATTGGACTACATTTTCCGATAAAGCGCCAATATTTCAGGCTCTTGTCTTTTCCAAGTGAAGCGAAATAAGTATTATCCCAATCTGTCTCTCCATCAACAAGTTAATTTAAGTAACATACGATTTAAATTTAAAATTCATCTCGTCATTTTCCATTGCCCTCTCTTGAATTGATCTCATCCGACACAGGATGGCATGAAACGTAAGAAAGAAATGAAAGAATGGAAATTTCGGCGAAATTTCACGAGGCTGTGAAAGATTTCATATTTTTCAGGGGCTAGAATATGCAACTCGCACTCGTACACACGAAAATAGAAAGAAAGTCACATTTTTCACATTTTGCGGAACATGGAAAGGAAGCACCATTTGCCCAGATCTCTCATGAATTTCTGAAATTTCATGAAATATTTCTCGTGAAATTTCAAAATCTTATTTTTCAAACAGCATATCTCTTTGAGGGAAAACTGTGCTCATATGAGCTTTTTCCCTCTGTACTCTGTATTGAGGTTTTCAGCTGTATTTGTAACGCACGTTGGCAAAAAACTCCAACATACCATCTTATTTTTCATGAAATTTTGCCACCCTGCTTCATCCATGTAGCACTGAATTGCAGTGGCGTGGCGTGAATGATCGATTATCGATATTTCTCCTTTTGAAGCTATGGTGAAGAATCGATTGTTAAGGTGTCCGCTGCGAACACCCTGTCTATCGATCCTTTTCCATAGGTTTAAATGGCATAACAATCGATATATCACAATTCACGCCACGCCACTGTCTGAATGGTGGATCGTAAACATCAGCCCTTAGTTGACATCTGAAAACGATTGCAGCCCAAAGTGACATTTCAACAGAGCATCTTATTCACATCGAGCAAGAATCAGATTAACTCTTGAGGGGGCCCGTTGGAGACACACAATAATTAATCTGGCAACGCAGCATCGCCGTCGTTTTACCCGAAATACGAAAAACAGATGCACCCCCAAGGCCCTCGACCCCCCGGTTCACACGCCTACGCTTGGGGGGTGGGGGGGGGGCAGCACTGCAGCTCCTGATTTTTGACTTCAGTCAGTTTAGATCTGTGTCTGTAGATCCACGCCGCGCCGTGCCGTGTCGCCGTGTCCGTCTTATTATTGCTGCAAAACTGAAGAAATTCTAATCCGAAATTACGACATATCTTATTGATTTCTAACTTTAATTTCTTCAGATTTCGCCCGCAAAATCTAGTGTATGCAATCCGGCTCACTGTGGAGTTAAAATTGTTGCCTATTGGGTTCAAACCCAACTTCATATTATATTCCGCCTTCCTTTGTTCTTCGCTTTGTGTCGTTTTGAGTTGAAATAGCGTTCCGTGCTCTTCAAGATCGTGTTTAATATATGGCATGCTGAATATGTTGATGCATAATTATACTCTTTTGTTTCAGTTTGTCGGAGTTGTATTATTCTCTACCTAGAGGCGAAGAATTATTGCCCAAAGTGTCAAGTGCCCATAAACACCAGCAAGCCGCATTTAAGTCTGAAGTAAGTTTTGCCTTTAAGTCAAAGCTATTTTCACTTATCCCTGCAAGTTTTCAAGTCTAATTTTAAGAAAAGTCATTCTCTGATCTTAAGTCTTTTTTTTTTTTTTTTTTTTTTTTTTTTTTTTTTTAAAAAAAGAGAAAAAATTCGAGATCAAGTTAAGCAAAATTTACAACAATGAAAATCGAGGCTCTTAATTCAGAAATTCTAAAAATAATTTTATGACAGAAATTAATTTTAACACGTAGACCAGCGACACGCCGAAAATCGTTTTTTACTGAACAGTGAAGAGTTTTTTAGTCTTAGTTACAGCCGTAGAAGTAGTTTTACCACAGGAATGCATAATATTATGTATAAATGCAAGGTCACTTTGTTAACTCCCGTTTCGTATACATGCGAAATTGTTGTCTCTCGATCTACCCAAAGGTTCACGTTCATGCAGCTCATCACATTTCTCTTCATCAGCGTTCCTTGAATTGCAGGGCTTAATTGAAACTGGTAATTCAGCCATGTAATTGTTAATGATGAATTTTAAGGACCTTTAAGTTGTACTCTTACATCGAATCCGAACTCGCACTTTCGTCTACAATGAAAAAAAAGTATGTTGACATCTACTATGAGTCTACTTGATTTTATACACAGTGATACTATTTGATGAAAATAACCAGAGTTATCTTCTATACTATAAGCTCCGAGACCTCCTAATTTTGCGAAACTGGTAACGCTTAGTTCCAGCGTTCTACCGGGCCGATTTTCATGATTTTTGCGGCTATCGACGCGCAATTGTCTCTAGATAAGCCAACTCTTTTCAGATTTTCAAAATATGGCCCAGGTTTTTTTATATTACTTGGTAAAGTTGCGAATTCTCCCATTTAAACAATGTAAATTTATACTTTTTGTCATAGTTCGTTTGAGCGTTCTACCGGGCCGATTTCCATGATTTTTGCGTAAATCGACAGGTAATAGGCCCTAGATGAGCCCGCTGCAATCAGATTTTGGAAAAGTACCCAGGTTTTTTTTAAAATCACGTTATAAAAGTGAGTGAGTTTACAGAATGCTCCGGTACTGCTACCGCTATGCGCGGGAGGATGCGTAGTGGTCGAGGAGGTTGCGCAGTAGCTGGGTAGCCTGAGCATCAGCTCTACACTTATCTACACAAGATTCGCACCAGCGACCCCACGTCGAGCGGTGGCCGAGTCGTCTAAGACGTCGAATGCATTCACTTAGAATTCAGTGTGGGTTCGATCCCCGACACATGAAATCTTAATAATTACCTGTCTGACAATGTGTATTGTTTTACTGCAATATTTCATCAAGCAGTCATTCCTAAATGCGTCCTTTTAATTTTAAAGTAATTTTAAGCAAAGTTTAAAATTAAAGCATACCTCATATCGTAATTTTTTAGGGGAAAAATAAAACTAACACTGATAGGAGGGTAAAAATAGGGCCGCGAAGCGGCCCATTGATGGCGCGGAGCGCCTTCAGGGGGTTGGGCCGCGTAGCGGCCAGGGGGCGTAGCCCCCTAGTGATGGTATGTCAAGAACTTTGGTGATGCTTACCGTAATATGGTGGTTGTATCACCGTGTCAGAGAATGGTTAAATCTACCGTATATTTTTTTCAGTGTAATGCGCAACTGCTTGTTTTTCAAAATTGATCGAACCCTGAGAAGATCCTTTCAAGTTTAGGAAGCAGCTTTGGCGAATTTTTCGGCGCACCATTAGAAAAAACATAATACCTTCATGACGGTTCTAATTTTCTAACGAGATGTTTATCCTTTAAAACTGTTTCAGGCCAGATAAAACACGGCAAGACATTGTCTACAAATTAGTGCCTGGACTATTTCACTCAGAAATGCGGAGGAGACAAGAATTTTACCAAAAGAACCGTTTTAGAGGTATGTTATCAGTTCATGTTATCAGTTTGTTGTTTTTTATCATTATTATTTTACATCTTGGTGAAGAGTGTTCCATAAATGATAGCACATTCCCGACGTTCCGCCATCCGCTACTGGTTATACTGCCGTGCGAAGGAAGAACGCCGTATGAACATTCGAGAGTTGCCAAATTTCCTTCGATAAAATGTTTATTTTTGTGGAAAGTTGAGAATATTTTTCCTTGAAATTTTCAGAAATTTTAGGTGAAATTACGAATAAAATTATCTGAAAAATGGAAGAAAGAATATTCACAAGTTTATCAGGGGATTCTTGTATCATCAAAGGAAATTTGGCAACGCTGTATGAGCCATCAGGCGTTGCCAAATTACCTTTCATAAAACACAAATTTCCTGGTAAACTTCTGAATATTTTCCTTCCAATTTTTCAGATAATTTTGTTCGCAATTTTGCCCAAAGTTCCTGAAAATTTCAAGGAAAAATATTAATAACTTTCCTCAAAAATAAACGTTTTATAGAAGGAAATTTGGCAACTCTCGAATGTTCACACGGCGTTTTTCCTTAGCACGGCAGAGTATAGCACTATCTACAGATGACCATTTAACGAGCAGTATGGCGAGACGTGAATCATTGGATATCGATATCTTCCCATTCGAGACTATGATAAAAAATCGATTAGTAAGTCGGTCGTTGCAAACACCTTCACAAATCGATCCTTTACCACGGGTTCAAATGCAGCTCATTCGATTCTTTGCGAAGCACGCCGAGCCACTTCAGTAACGAGGCGGTTAAAATTAGATTACTTCGCTCTGTGTAAATGTCAGCGCCATCGACACTCAGCATATCCGCTCAAAACCTACTGATCGTAAAATTAAGTTTACTTCACGTAGGAGGCCAATAATTCGACAATGATTTTTTTATGATCAATTTTTTGGGGAATCGGGGATTGGGTGTTACTTGTAGTGTAGATCCCGTGGACGTATTATGGTTACAAATTATGACCTCTAACAATAATTTCTGCACCAGCTTTGCTACTGTAACACGTCTAGTTCCGTGAAAAATATCTGTTCACTGCATCAATCTATCGTCATCTGAATAAGGAGATAGAAAATAACGGAGACTTAGAATACATTACGCTGATCAAGAGTTAGTTATATTTTTCAGATAATTTTAGGATGTATGCCGAAGTCATATTATTCTCCTAGAGTTGAAAATCTGAAAACCTTGAAAAATATTCTTTCAGCTTTCAACATTTCTAGGGGGACTTCAATAATTTGGTCGCGATTGAATACTGCTTACTTGCCATTCTGTCTATTTTGCCCATCTTTACGCTGAAACCATTAGGACTTGATTGTATGACTAGCGCAACTCGCCCATTCTGCACGAAATGGGGACCACCATTTTGGAACCCATTCCGTTTATTTTGACTTAAATGTTTTTTATTTGGTCTTTTGACAGATCTGCATTTGCATCCGGAAGCGAGAGGAGTGGACGTTGATAGACTGATTTATTCCCCCGAGGATAGCATTAGCTTGTCTTTGGAATACTATGACAGGTAAGATTCTGTTTCATCCCCCTTAAAAGTTATTTAATATCGCATCGTTATCTCTGAGATGGGTGATGTCGGAAGGAATGCAATTGAAATTTAATGATTTACGAGGGTCTATTCATAAAATTTGAATCAGTTTGTAGTTACTAAATGTGTTATAATTACTAAATTGTATACCAATTAATATGGTTTTGTGTGACCCAATCCTCTAATTGAACATCTTTGGATTCTTTTCTCCGCTCCTTTCTTCTCTTTTTCTTTCCTTTTTCTTCCTATTTTTCGGGCAAACGGAGGGGGAAGGGAGGGAGCACGCCCCCTATACCCCCCCCCATACGCATATGCTATCCTCCCCCACTGCATTTGGGAAACAAATGTCACCTGTTGATTCTAAAGTGAGCCTGATGAAGTAGTTCCTTACATCCTTTCATTGGCGGTTCCGGATACCTCGAAGGGGGGAGAGGGTGCGGGGGCCTCCCCCGCAGAAATTTTTGAATTTTGAAGCATCTAATATGCAATTTGAGTCAATTTCGTCATGAATAATTACCAAATGTAAGCGCCTTTTCTTCTTTTTTCCCCCGTTCCTTCCGTCCGTCTTCCTCCTCATATTTCTTTTTTCCCCCGTTCCTTCCTTCCGTCTTCCTCCTCATACACTCAAAAAAAGCTCCGGCCGTGGAGGCCAGGAGCTGCGGACCTGGAGCACGGACTGGATGGGCTATATGGCACTACCGTTCGCCTACGCGCCTGACGGCCGGAGTGCTACGTGCGGGNCTGGATCCGCGTATGCTTCCTTATCTATCACAATATGCAGTCCATTAATGGTACCTAATGGAGAAGATCATAAGATAAACTTATCTGAAACAGGATCAATCCCGTAAAGCGGGGCACTCGAGGACGCCTCCGAGAAAAGGGGAAACACGGTCATAAAATCACGATTCGGAAAAGTCCAAGAACGGTGTTTTCGGCGGGACCGCGGCCGGAATTATTTACTCGGAGCGCAATCCGGGATGTAATTACCGATACATAAACTCCGTCATGAATGCAGGCCAAAAGGGGGGGGGCCGGATTCTGGCGCCTTCGAATTAGCCCGAACAAGCGCACGGAAGGGTGCCGCGGGGTATTGTTCGGGGAGGGGAGCGCGGAGCTCCGCTAAGTAAAAACCGCGGATATTACGTTGGTTCCCCGTTGCGTTTACGCGGTTTCACCGGGCGTCGCGTCGAGGGTTGTGCGGTAGGGTCGGGGATCATCTGAATGAAATGACGAAATTACCGCCCCTCCCCCTCTGCCCCCCGCCGCCCGGCGCCCCTCGGCGCGCTCTCCCGCCCTATTATCGATGCATCCCGACGCGACCCTCGTTTTCGCGCGAAAAATCAAGCGCACTTGCTCTTTAATGGTGTGTCAACACTTGTCGTTAGTGGCCGCGGCTTTATAGTGTCGCGGCTTCAGCTCGTTATCGGCGGTAGTGGGTAATTAAACGCGTTATTTTGTCCGACTCGTTTCCAGGGGTCAAGTTCTTCGTTAACGTTCCCTGATTCTATGGAGTGTGAGTAAATAATCTTTTTGAACGTAGGCGTGTGTGAGTGTTTTTCTATCGAAAGTTTTGCAGGGCAGTGGATTTAATTTGGGGATTCTTGGGGAAAAAGAAAGTTCCCGGTTTTACCTGGCTTGTGGCTACTAGATAGCCAATGACAAGGCGTGAATATTCAAAGATCGAAATTTCTCCATTTGAAGCTGTAGTAAAAAATCGATTATTAAGGCGTTCGATTTGGACACCGACTGCATGCTGTTAATGGAGTCTTTTGCATAAGTTGAAGTAGCAAATCGATCAATATACCGCAAAGTATGTTATACGCCACTGCTGATAGATTGAAATCTAACTTATTTCTTCACTCTGTAAGGTAGTCATAAGTGGTAAGACATTTAGGGAAAGCGAGAGTATTGGGTCGGAGACGGAGAAACGGTGTGTGCAGGTTATTATTTCTCTGTGAGGGGTTTTATTTTTAACTTTTTTTTTTGTCATTAAAGCTTGCTAGAGCATGTTTGAAGGCACTCCTCGACCATACGGCCGGCTTGCTTTTATACTGACCACGTGAAATGGTATAGAGCCCCCTTGAGACCGAAAAAAAATCTGGCTTGACGAGAAGACTTTGCTCCAGTGGAATGAAAAATTAGGAAACAAAGTCGAAAAGTAGGAAGCAGTTCATTCACATCGAATGTTGCAGACATTTTACTCATCGCAATGCGTTATTTTGTCGAAAGGAGCGTAACTCCATTCCAAAGTTGCAAAATTGACTCTACCAAAATTGACTCAACCAATTCGTTTGTTTATTACCAAAAGTACTTATTGTGCAATTTGTGTCCAACATTTTTCTGATTTTCCGTGAGATCAGATGAAAAATCAGTGAAATTCTCAGTTAGAAGTGCCCAAGACTCGACAGTCATAATCGAAATTTGCGAGGGAAAATCTGGCAACATTGAAATGTAGTTACGTTCTATCGTGAGGGAAATGATGACTTGTCGTACCTACGTTAGTCCAAACCACATTCCATCCTCTATAGTTGGTGTGCTTGCCTTAAAATATACGTATATCACCGCTACTTACTTACTATCATCAACGACTGTGTTACGATGGTACGGATACCATGTCATTATACGTTGTGAACTCAACATCCTTAAAGGGTCTTAAGAGGCATCGAAAATAACGTACACACACAACCCCTCGTAAAGTTTTCGACACGACCCTCCCACACCAGTGCGTAATTTATGAATGGCTCAATTGAAAAGGGGAGGTTTTCCTCTCTAAGACAACTATATAACGCTTATGAGATTTTTGTGCGCCCCTTGCGTGCGGATCGTAGGGGTGTTCTCGCTTTTGGTAGGTCAGATACGCAGACAGGGGATTAAACCCATACACGGCATTCCCTGAGAATTCAAGAGACTTTCGTCTTTGAACTGTTTTTTTGAAAATTTTTAACATCAGACATCTTTTCCCTCCAGGAAATAAACTGGGTGCGCCTCTTATTTTTCGTGGCGAGTGCACTCCTACGATAAAAAGAAAACTCCAAAACCAAGGTAACCCTGCTAATGTATTCGTCCCCTATCTTTGCATATAGAGTTTGTCTTGATATACAGGGTGATCCAGAGCTAAACGGCCAGATTGCAGGAGCGTGTTATATGGGTTAAGTTAAAATAAGACTTTTTTGTTGTAAGAAGTTTTTTTCTCTAGAAGTGCCCCCAGTTGGAGCTAACGCCCCCCCCCCCCCCGAAATTTTGGAAAGCAAATCGTTTTTCCTGAATTTTGGCAACGGCTGTGAACCAAATCTCATGAATATTTTGACTCCCCTGTACTTTTATGCCCTGAATTCATAAATGATCCAAAAGAAATTGAAATTTCGACTTGCAACAAAAACGTCTTATATTGACCCATAGAACACGTTCCTGCCGTCTGGCCGTTTAACCCTGGATCCCATGTAGTAGAGGTAGACTCTTATGGTAGCATGGTATATCCCCTCCATTACGGCCTCGACTTTAAGAGCTTTTTTAAGCTCAGGAGTTGATTTCAGAGAAAATCCGTGGCACCATCGTGCTTACATAGGAATCGGTGCTTAAATCGCAAATTCCTGACATACATGCGAGAGCTTCATTCCCAGAGCAACGCTTGCGGAATTGACGGAGGCCTATCTCAGGGCAGCGACGGAAAAGGCGCGAAAATGTTTCATTCCGAGAGTGTCAAAGGCGGACGCGACGGAAAAGACGCGAAAATGTTTGATTCCAAGGCGGGCGCGACGCTGAGGTCACTCATTTCGGGGACCCGGGCCGAGGCGGGGCAGGTGGGGCCGGGGGGCGGAACTGCGCGCTGATTTCCGTCGGTGGCGTTTTTCGTTTTTCGACTCGGCGCTCGGGAGTGGGAAACGGAGACATGTGGAACGTGATGCGTCACATGGACCGTGGACTGATTGCCTTCTCGCGGCCCGGGCCCCGCGCGCCCGCTGCGACACCCCAACCACCGCACCGCCGCCGCCGCCACTGCCCAACACTTCACTCCAAGGTCGACCACGTTGCCGAGTGGCGCCTGCCTAGCTCACCGCACTCCCGAAACCCCGCGCAGTTCCACCGAGCTCCGTCCTCGCCTCGGCTCTTCGATATCGTGCGTCGCACGGTGGATCGAGTCAATTGGAAAGGTGGAAAGGATTGGAAGGATATGATTTGATATTTTCACTGAAAAAAAACTCCGGCCGTGCACTGGTAAAAAAAAAAACCTCTTGGTTCAAGAATGCAGTTTCTTGTCACCGGATTTAACAGTCTGGACTCTTTGTTTCAATGAAAAATTCGCTTTGAATCAATGCAAAATCCGCTTGAAACAAGAGTTCAAGACTCTTAAATCCGGCGACAAGAAACTGCACTCTTAAGTCAATGCAATGCGGCATTGGTCCAAGAGGTTTTTTATACCAGTGATGGGAGCCGCAATTTCGGGTTATATAGACATACCGTCCGTTCCGGGTTCAAAGGCAGAATATTCCGGCATCTGGAGCCGGGGCGTGAGGTGGTTCCGGGGAGCTTCCTCAGAAACTTTTTCTAAACTCTCTCGAAAGTTTCGTCCAAATCGCAAGTCAAAATCTGTAACCGCTCTCGATGTATCAACAAATACCCATGCTTTGTGCATACCCTGTGTAGAAAAAGCCCCCCTCCCTCCCCCGAAAAATCAGGTGGGGGCTTGTGTAGCTAAATCAATCACCGCAAAAGCGCGCCTCGATATGTAAATCAGAAAACATGTTATAGTCGGAGTTCGACATTGAAGTACCTGCGGAAATGAGTGAAAATTGGGGACTTCAGCTTGAAAACGGTTCGTTTACTGAATCTGAAGTAGTCTCGGGTTTACAGTTTTTAAGGAAAGGCAGGTTGGTCCGATTACACTTGAGGAACAACTAAAAACAAGGGTGCGGAAATTTCATTAGGATTATAGAGGAATGAATCCAGTTGTCTCCGGCTACAGTAGAATAGAGACACGCATCGATAATTTCTCTTTTTCTTAAATCTTATGATTTAAAATGAAAATGTTTATAGCTGACATTGCGACAAAATCTGAGCCTTTTTTAACGCCATTGACAACGGAACGTTCTCTCAACTCAAAATAACGCGAAGAACAATGGAAGATTCTACGAAGTTGGGTTCGGACCTAGCATGCAACTATTTGAGCTCTGCGGTGGGCCGGGTTGCATACGCTAGATTATGCGGGCGAAATCTGAGATCTGCGTACACGGTTGACCGTTGACGTGCGTTCGCTATTGCTCTCGCGATAGGGCATGCACGGGTTCATTCAGTGGTTTTTTTTCGAGCGTATGCAACTCGGTCTACCACGGAGTTAAAACTGCTTGTGGCCAAAATCCGTCCATTGTTCTACGCTCGGCATTATTATACGATGCCGATTTCGTCTCTTGGAAAGCATCTCAGTTTGGTAGAATCGCGTTACAAATCTGTGCGATAGGAGCGTCCGAAAAGTTGATCGAATTAGACGTCACGTTCAAGGAAAACGCTACTTGCGAAAACCCCTTATATCCATTTTTCCAGTATTCAGTTTTTTTTTGAGTTGATAAAACTTTTAAAGAGTTGATACAGCCATAAAAGCGATGAAAGAACTCGTTTTGGGATTCAGGTACCCCGAGACGAGTATTAACGATACTACGTGTTTGCACCCAACTCTGATAAGTATTATCAACTCAAAAAACTGAAGACTGAAAAAATAGACATTCGTGGTTCTCGCACGTCTCGACAAACCCGCCACAAGAGGGGGGATACTTAGTCCTTGGTATACCGAGACCCGGGCCCTGGTGCCGTCGGTGACAAACCACTGCGAATTCACGTACGTATAACCCTTGTCTCCTAAGGAAAAGTGAAAAATTTACCCGAAAAATTTCTTAAAGGGTGAATAAATTTTCAAAAACACGCTGGAGCACTATAGAATTCCTCTCTCTTCTTTAAAGATTTCTATCTATTTTCAAGAGTTTCAGTATAGAATGATAGTTTTATTGCCATAGACGCGCGGAAAGGGAGTCCAGGGCGTAATCATTCTGCAGAAATTGATGGAAAATCTCCGTCATGGGAGCTTCAAAATGCTTCCAAATAGATTCAAAATTTCAAAAATTTCCCGGGGGAGGCCCCTCAGACCCCCTTCTATGCTGGGGGCCCGGGCCTTGAAACTGGTACCAGGGCCCGAGATGGGATGTGGCGGGCCTGCGTCCCGATTCAAATATAAGCGTCCTTCCTTCTTCTTTCCTCCTCTCCACCCCGCTTATACTTTCTTCTCTTTTTCTTCCTACTTTCTTAGAGCGAACGGGGGTAGGGGGCGTCTGCTCCCACGCACCTGAATCCACCCATACATCATGTTTTACAAATGAACTACACCCTGTGCCGTTCGTATTTCGTCTGGCTCAACGCGAAGCCACGTGGAGCGACGACGCGACGTCTGAAACTCGCCGACGATGACGAGTGGCCGGGCGTCTCAGCGTCCTGCGTTGCTAGGAGACGGCGCCGTTACCAGCACCGGCTCGGCTTCTCACACAACAGAACCCGCTCGTCGCACCCCACC